AAATTTTTTATTTAGATTATATATTTTAAGATTGATTGATTGATTATTTATATTTACGTGCTTCAAATAAAAATTCCAGCAATTAAATAATCTCTCCCTCCCATAACTGCCCATTTTTTGCACGTGGCAGACAGCTGGTTGCCAAAGTCAAGGTGTTTGATTAAAAAATGTCGTCACACGCTCGTGCAATAGTAAACACTGCGTTGAACGCGCAGCGGGTAGCGTCGCCGGGACAGTTTCGTTAACCGTTGACAAAGCGCTCACCGTTACACAATCCAGGTTTTAGAAGGAAATGATGCATGTTGATCCCACAGAAGTAACAATGGCCTGAAACCAATCGTCACAATTGGTCATTATTATGGAATCGGCATTTTTTCGCCAGGGAGACTACTATCACTTTCTAACATACCAAACGTATTGTTTGACTTGTACATAGGTGTATATATCTGTTACCTGAAATAAAGTCTACGCAATATCAATGCACATAAATGCCTAGCGCCTCTGGGTGTCACGTATGAGAGAACTCCAATCTTGTCGTTCCAAGTAACTCGTGTGATATATATATATATATATATATATATATATATATATATATATATATATATATATATATATATATATATATATATATATATATATATATATATATATATATATAAAGATTGCTGTTGTGTTTCTGAAAACTTGAAAGGTGGGATGGCAATCTGATAATGTGTTGGGGTAGGGGTAAATCGGATTCACTTGTAAAGTATAATATATCTGTATCTACCTAGATAATTAGCAAGACTGAAATCAATGACATTACAGTATCACCGGACAAAATAGACGGACATTTTGTGAGACATTTTTCTTTTCGAATTGTCTTTCTTCATTTTTGATTATAATATAGCAGTTTCTAATTCTGCTGCAGCTGCAACTTATTAAAAGGAAACGTTTGCAGCAAGACTCAATTTAGTCTTTCAACCAGCGTAATTGATTTATCGCGATCTACCTTTAATACGAATGTTAGATATCAGAGAATGCTCGCTACATAGTTAAGATATCGGAAATAAATGTAAGGAATGGCATGTAAAACTTGATTTCAGCATAATGTTGAGCATTGAATGCACACAAATCAGACTGTACATCTTTTCTATAACAAGGCTCATCTACTATCGTCCTGAAACAGACGACATCGAGCGAAGTGCTTCATTGCAAATTAATTGTAGTTGCGCGTGCTGTCACGTCCGGAATGATTTCCGTCTTCTTTAAACTTTGCGCTTTTACGGCTTGAATTGGATAATACAAATTTCCGTTCGACCCAAGTTAGAAGCAGCTTTATTGAACTCCAGTACTCCTTCAATGTTGATAGCTATTTGTGTACTCGAGTTCCACCTTCTGTGCAGTACCGAAGAGTACCCAAGAATGACCAGTCTAGAGTTTCACGATGTAAATAATACGGGTAGCTTGAAAAACTTCAGTGAAATACTTAGTAGGTGCAACATTAGTGCTAAGAGTGCAAATTTATTGTGTCGCATGAGTAAGTTATTTAAAGGACATTGGGAACGTGTCAAAAATATTTATTTGCCAAGGGAAAAAGGAATAAAATGCAGGATATTATGACTGTTCTCTGACACGCTCAATAATCTTTTTATCACCCAAGATATGAAATGTGTCCAGGCTGGGATCATTGGACTGGCTGTTCGCAGAAAAGACATTTAGAACCACTTCTATTATTAGGTTGTAAATTACAACAATCGGTTCATAAATCAATATCCATTACTCTTTGATGTCTAAATAATACAACAATAACAGAAGAAATATATGATAGGAAGATAGTAAGCCGTGAAAAAAAACATAAGACAATGGGGGTTTTATTGGTTGTTTTTGTTTCGAAAATATCAATGCAAGGCAAGATTAAAAAATTGAGCAACTGGTCTAGTAATTAATTTTAATGTAAGGAAAGATTCTACTCCATGCAAAACATTTCTAGTGGAATTTTGAAACTAGATTTTTTTTCTTTGCAACATGATATCTAAAAAGATAATACATTTTTAAAATTTCAATCAGACCTTGTGAATTTGGCTTATTTATTGACTTACTGGCAGTAATACTTATAATACGTCAAAAGTAAATAAATATAAGACTTACTAATTGCATAATCATAATTATAAAAAAAAAGCTTTTAAGACAAAATGTAATATTAAAAAGAGAAATCAAACACTTTTATTTGGGTTTTTTAAAACATAATTATTATCAAACATAAACATATGTTACTTAGTAGGATTACATTTTTAATCTAATATTGATCGGTATACATGTTTACATATTTGAACGGAACAAACTGGTCGTTTCTGGGTCTGATAATTTTTGTTAAACTTTCACTAATTGTTTCAAAATTATAATTATTATTAATTTTTAGGTGTGGAATAAATATAAGATTTAATAATGTTTACTTCTTTAATTATTGTCAGAATGTTGTTGTCTTGAAATTTCATGGTGCTTGTTTTTGTAATATTGTCCTTTTTATGTGTTGTGGAACATTGAAAAGCGCTCAAACTTTCTAATGATTAGGCACTGTACTAAGTTTACATTGATAATAATAATAATAATAATAATAATAATAATAATAATAATAATAATAATAATAATAATAATAATAATAATAATAATAATAATAATAATAATTATTATTATTATTATTATTATTATTATTATATTATTATTATTATTAAAATTATTATTGTTATTATTATATTATTATTATTATTATTATTATTATTATTATTATTATTATTATTATTATTATTATTATTATTATTATTATTATTATTATTATTATTATTATTATTATATGTGACATAAAAATACAGTTTTCTTTAAATGTCACCAAGAATGAGTTGCTGAGGTGGGAATCCACAATAATGTTTATTTCATGTTGTTACACTGTTCGTAACTTTTGACACAATATTATTATCTATAGTGTTTATTTTATGTTTTTACACTGTTCATAACTTTTATCACAATTTTTCAGCTATAATATTTATTTTATGTTGTACACTGTTCATAAATCTTGTCACAATTTTATCCACCTTAAGTTTATTTCATGTTTTACACTGTTCATAAACTTTATCACAATTTTATCCACTATAATGTTAACTTTATGTTTTTATACGTCTCATAACTATACACACACACACATACACACACACACATACACACACACACATACACATTAGGTCAGTACGGTAGTATGAATTCATTGAAATGAGGAAAGCTGGGTTTTGTTCTTCAAGTCTTGTGAAAAGGAGGTTGGCTAAAGCATTCAAAATGCTACACTGAATGTATAGTCAATACATGTATATATTTGCTACGTTTGATTATTCTTTAAATTCTAATTTTCTAACCACCGAGTGTACATGCGATTTTGCCTGCTTGTCGACATACAGGATGTTAATATAAACTACAGTGGGTTAATATGAACCATTTACAATGTGATTTATAATGTAAACGTTTTCATAACAGAAATAAATGTACCACATAAGTAAAAGTAAAACAGTTATTTCTCAAGAAATGAACATACAACACTATATTTATTATTGAGAGACCAAAATGAAGTTTTAATTTTCAGATAAAAGGTTAGCTAATTATTGAAAGTACATTCTTTATTTGCATAATGGGATGTAAACAATGTTATGTTCATAATGGACGACAGAATCTATCTCGATCAAATAATAGGTCAATCAAACGCTCTATTTGCTGCAGACAAATTTAAACCGAGGCCCGCATATGTGGGCACTATTTCTTCTGGTCTCTACAAGTGTGGCTTCTTTAATGGAGCTGGAACATCATGGAAACTAAAACCACGGGAACATCTAGCCATCGGTGAATGTAATGCAACCGTGAAACCACATCAACGCCGAACTAGGTCAAATATGTCAAAGAACCCGCTAGATTCCCAATTAGTACCACGGTCGCGTCAGTTGAAAAGGACCTGTACTTTTTTCGTTCATCGATACCGCACACTTGAATAATTATATTTGTACGTACATAAAAATTAGCAAAGTACATTATATTTATACCACTCTCATCATATACTATACTGAGGTTCATATCGTTCCTATAAATCGTTTATATACCATGTGACTAATAATGCAAGGTATGAAATTTCTTCCATTTGTACCACAATCTATTTAAGAAACGACACAGAATTCCCAGGCAACTCTTTACTATGCGCAATCGTTTAGTACCGGTGTTTTAGCTCAGAGATTCGACCTTTTAGGCCTACATTAAATTTGACGCACTATCCGCCTTTCAACAATGTCTGCCCATCTTCCATGGTTACCGTTGGACATTGCCATGATCGTGACGTCTTAATATACCAGTGAAACGGGTTAAATAGAATACCTCTATCCCATTGGTCCACCCAAAATGATAGCCTAATTTTTAGTTCACTAACAATCAGTTAATATGTTGCGCTTTGTTTCCCGCCTACTTTTAATCCGTATACGTTAATATTACGACCCAAGTACTTTCGTAGCGGAAAGGAATTCATACAATTTTCCGAACATTCAATTTGCAATTATAATATTTTGTAAAATGCTATATGTTTAAACTAATTACACCATTATTAGATAGTTGTCCTTACCAGCAGTTGATGTTTTTCCACCTTAAATTATTTGTACACTGTTCCGTTTGTAAAATTTAATTTAAGGATCAGGTCTTGTAACAATGAATATCTCACTCTCGTGTTTTTCGTTAAATAACTTTTATTACGAAGCAATCTTGTTCTTACTTTTTTTAAAAAAAATCTGTGTGCAGCGTTGAATACAGAATATATGAATAGAATGGGATATTTGCAGTGTCAATAATATACAACGAGATGTATACATATTCATTATAAGGAAACGAGGCCTTCCAAGTTTCCTTTTAATGAAACATATATACAACGAATGATATATCATTGATACAGCGTAATAGTTCTATATATTTTATTTATGTCGCATACAAATACACAAACCGCTACGGCGGCCTAGTGGTTAGAGCATCCGCCTCGGATGCGGGAGGTCGTGGGTTTGAACCCTATCCCTAGTCATACCAAAGACTTAAAAAATGGTACTAACAGCTGCCTCGCTTGGCGCTCAGCATTAAGAGGTTAGTGTTAGGACTGGTTGGCCTGGTGTCAGGATAATGTGATGCCCCAGTACTATACATCACATTTGTTGCACTGCAGACATCGTAGCGATATGACTGAAAAATTGTTAAAGCTACGTTAAAAATCTAAATGGCACACAGATACAAATACACATTTTTGCATTAAGACTGACTACGGACAATCGTTATTGATATCCCTGCCGTATGAGTCCGCTACAAAATGTAGTTATGTGCTTGTGGGGTCGGGAGCTGTTCACATTCACTTTTATATATTGATAACTTGATTGTTCGCTTTTTTTTTAGCTTCTAATTTTATTTAAGTTGATTAAATCAATATAATACACACCTATGATTTATACGTGAAAGATGGTTTTAATGAAGAAAGTAAAGCACTACCAAAGCATCATTACAATCTTGTATGGAATAGAAACTTAGTGAAATGACGAACCAACAAGAGCTAGGTAATTAAAATAATTTAATATATTTACAGTTCACTAAGTCATTATTCCGCATTAATTTAAATAAAGTCATCTCTCTCTCTCTCTCTCTCTCTCTCTCTCTCTCTCTCTCTCTCTCTCTCTCTCTCTCTCTCTCTCTCTCTCTCTCTCTCTCTCTCTCTCTCTCTCTCTGGTCAGTTTGACTTAACATTTGCCTTCATTCTTCATACATACATAGATACATCGTAGTATACACAAGCGAAAATCATCTTTGCTCCTCTTTGCTTGTATATGGAAAAGTGGGCGGCCTTTGGACATTTTCATATTTAATTAATAATTAACCATTTTATAAACTTTATCATAGGTTTAAGAAGACAAAAAAAAAATAAACATTACATTCCGTGTGCCCGTAACCAAGAAATGCTATTGTGCACTTTGTGGCATTGATTATATTAACACTGTAGATAGAACCTAAGGAAAATGCACATATGCCAATATGATATTGTTGTTTACTTGGTGCAAGTTCAATTTCAAGGTTTTCGTCCTGCCCAAATTCTTTTTCTCTCACTCCTGATTTCTGCTTATTTTGTTTCTTGTGCATGAATTGTGAGGTGGACAAGGGAAAATCGAGGACTGCCATGAAATTGTTACCATGTTAAATTCATCTTGGAAACGGGGATTAATATTAATTTTGGTCTTTATTTTCATAGGTCACTAATGATTAATGACTGGATATTCATCACTCATCTATAGGAATAGAACCGACAACATACATTTCCAAGAATGTTTATAAATTCTCATTATTGCGCCATGGGTGGATCACAAATTTGAAATACCAATAATACTGGTATATCAAATTGCTTTAAACCAACACTTTCAAAGCCATGCTATTTTTTATGTAAGTTTTATATATATATATATATATATATATATATATATATATATATATATATATATATATATATATATATATATATATATATATATTCGTTTTGGTGTTTATATTGACTGCGAAACATGGATTCTGTTAGGGTCTTCAGTCTCACAAAAGAAACTAGTTTTCCATGCAGAGAAGTGCCCTCTTGCTTCAAGACGTCGTTTTCATTCATAGATACATAAACAACGATTCACCCCACCCCACCCAAAAAAATGGATTTTTCAACGAGTCTGTCGAATGGTAACCGTGTGTATTCTCATATCTGTATCAATCCAAATATGGTTCAGAATCTAGGTAATTTCATGAAGGCTATTTGCCGGTCAATCTTCGTATTTGCTTTTGATGGGCGCTCACCAGTATTATTATGTAGGTTTGAGAGAGTGACGTAGGTAAGGTGAAGTAGTTTGCATATTTCACACGCACAATGGAGAGAAGGTTGGCATAACTCTATGCTGCTTTGATGTCATGTGACGTTTCATTGGACATTGTACTTTAGCACACTGCTAATTAGAATGACTGCTATATTGTGCTCCAAAAATCAGCATGAATTTTACTAAAGTACACTTTCCTTAGTAATTATTAAAATAGGGAGAATTATTTTTGCTAGACTAGACAATACCAGCTTCTGAAAGTGTAATGAATGAATTACTAAATATATAACATGTTTAAAAAAAAGATTATCTGTAAATTTTTTTCTACAATTTACCTGTGTTCGGCAAGTGAAAATGACCAAACCAAGCTAGGACTTTGTCAAAAGATGCAGGTCTGGAATAAGGCCAAGCTGTATACTCAATAACCCATATTACACCATCATCAATCATACACCAAAATAAAGGGATTTTAAAGGTCTTTAAACAAAACATACGATATACAAGGTCTTATTTAAATAGCCAGTATAACTATTGAGGAAACCCGGATGAATTCATTTTTTTTTAAATTCTAACCCCTTGCAAAATACGAAACTGTCGAGACAATTACTACAGCCTTATCAAGGTGTTGTGGGGCCTTGACTATTTTCATATACTACAATCAGGATATTGTGGGACTTTGATTATTTGTATGTGCTAAATTTTCATATACTAAAGCCATATCAGGGTGTTGTGGAACCTTGATTATTTTCATGTACTACAGCCTTATTAGAGAGTTGTGGGGCCTTGATTATTTTCATGTACTGCAGTCCTACTAGGATAGTTGTGGGGCCTTGATTATTTTCATGTACTGCAGTCCTACTAGGGGAGTTGTGGGGCCTTGATTATTTTCATGTACTGCAGTCCTACTAGGGGAGTTGTGGGGCCTTGATTATTTTCATGTACTGTACTTATCAGTATGTTGAACCTTCTTCATTGCGAGCTCATGGTTCATGTCTTCCGCATGATGCCCCACTGCTAGACATCTCTGTAAACTGCAACAGTGCAGACGTCGTAACGATGTGATTGAAAAATTGTTAAAATCACGTTAAAAAACCAAATCACATACGCAAAAACACACACGTTCCTTTAAATTCGGATCGAGGAGAAGCTATGGCTTTGTTGTTCGCGTTTTGAATTCTATCTGCATAAGGTACTTTACTTTATTTGCCTATAACAATCTAGTTTTCTTCCTGTGCATTAACTATTAAATTAGTGCATAGATTAGCGGACAAACTTCATTTAATACAGTCCATGTATTATTTGGATTACTTTTTAGCAGAAATTCAAGTTTTAGCTGGAAACTACAATATTATAATCGAGACTTAAAACGATATATATCACTACAAATTTGAATGACAATTGGGGAGTAAAAGTATGAAGATACTTAAATTTTAATAAATCTGACTTTAATTAAATTTATGTTATGTCATTTTCCCAAATTCGAACTGTATGTATGTATGTATGTATGTATGTATGTATGTATGTATGTATGTATGTATGTATGTATGTATGTATGTATGTATGTATGTATGTATGTATGTATGTATGTATGTATGATTGTACATACACACACACTACCTTTATTAAAATAATAAGTCTTAATAAAGTACAGAATATGAACATCGCCATGTTTTCTTTTGACTCTACTTTTCATGTTCTGGGCCTCAACAAAGCAAGATTAGAAAAAAATTACGTTCTTTCTTCTTGCGTTATGGAGTTTTAAGTGGTTAAGGCTAACTGTGAGTTTCTGTTTCTATTATTTTATTGCATGCATGTTGATTCGGGATAAAAATGGTATGGCGTTCGAATGTGTTTACGAGCGAGTTTGTACGTGGTGATTCATTATACATCCTTTCATAACATCATCCAGCGTTCTTTTAAGCAGTGCCAACGTGATTCTATGCGTTGTACACAAATTGACACGTATTTCGCGACTTATGCAGAAACAAATCGTGCAAAAGGCCGGCCGTGTGTCACTTGCACGCAATGAAGTCACCGTAAAACTTGCTGCAGCTCGCGGTATCATCAAACAACCCGATCAGTTGAAAGGAAGTAAAATCGAAGCGCCTGATTAACAACATTGATCAATCTTAATTGAACATGAAACGCTCATTGAAACTCGTAGGTGCGAAAATTCAATATTCCGCTGATACAGTTACCTCAGTGTAAGTTAGGTATTGATTAAATTTAACGTCTGCGTCTCTATCCATGGGCGCCCGCAGGATTTTTTGCAGTGGGGTCAGGATGTTTTGCAGGTGGGTGTCAGGATATTTTTTGGGGGGAGGGGATCAGTCAGTCAGGGCCGGGAGATTTAGTATAAGAAGCAGTCTGAAAAAAAGTTTATATTTACTAAGCGTTTTAAACATAATCTTATGACATATTTTCAGCTTCTTGTCAGAATATACATACATACATACATACATACATACATACATACATACATACATACATACATACATACATACATACATACATACATACATACATACATACATACATACATACATACATACATACATATGATTTTGGATCACGTGACCCCCTTGACCCATGTTTCGGGCGCCCATGCCTCTATCCCATCAAAGTTCTCAGCGGTATTTTTTATAAGAATACGTATTTAATGTCTACCGACCTGGTATAGACAGTATGGTGGTGAATGTCAACCATCTGGTTGATTCAGAGAGGGACAGAGAGACTGAGAGAACAATAATTTAGCTGCTATTAGCAAGTCAAACGCCAACAAACTGTTCTCTTTTGACATTGGTTCTTCATCTTAGGTAAGCTCAAGTAACAACAGTAACGTGGATATTTTTCCAACAGTTTAATGTTCTTAAGAGTATTATTCATGTGCCCCCTGATCAATTTCAAGATGCGGTCACTTGAACTCTGTCGTTAGATACATATAGAAAAATTAATGTGGGATGAAAGTCAATGAACTTCCAATTAACGAGTCCTGGTCCAATATGAAACAATCATTATGGATAAAAACGCAGTTGCTATACACCCTAGGTCAGCTCTAACATTTGGAGTGAATATACATCACAGAAATGTAGCAATTTATTAGGAAGACTGTAGTTTAACTTCTTATTCAAGCCAGTCAGTCAAAATTTGTGAACTTCTGAGCTTGAAGTAGAGATTTGTTCTTCAAAATTCTGAT